GCAAAGGAATTCGTAGATGGACCATAATAAACTGCGGACTTAAGAGGGGAGGGGTGGAGTCCAGCCTGTCAATCAGATTGCAGCTTGATGGCCTCATTTGGAGCTGCTAAGGAGATAAACAGCTCCCTGGAGGCGGGACATGTGCTCATTCCCTGTGAGACATTACTGACAGACTAGCCTGATGGAGCTACACCGATGCAGGCAGAGCCTTGAGCTGGAGGAGCCACGCGGAGACCCATGCCAGCGCTGAGATGCTTACAACGCCACTGGATCCACAAGACTTTCCACCCAATGGCCTGTGATCTTCCTGCACGCAGCATCATTGCATGTGTTGCTCGAGTCTGAAGAGGAATTTTCAGACTGGTACTGGGCTAATATTGGATTTATGGATTTTATCTGGACTGGGCTGGGATGTTTTCTTAATGTACAATTACATATATATACATACGAGTGTCTATGGATTTGTGTCTCTAGTCTACCCAGACTAACAGTGTGCATCAGGGTTGTATCCTCTTACCAAACCTGTTCAGTCTATATGCTGTGCAGTCATCAGAGAAGCTGGATCACATGAAGAAGAGGGTGGCATCAGGACTGGGTTGGAGGAGGGTTTATTAACAACCTGCCCTATGCAGATGACCCAACTTGGCTGGCTGACAGTGAAAGGAACTGAAGCGCTTGCTCATAAGGATCAGATGGATTACAACACAATGTAAGGAAGACCAAAATCCTTGCATCTGGCCCAATAGATAACATATCATAAAAATGGAGAAAAGTTGTCAAGGATTTCGTCTTACTTGGATCCACGATCAAAAGCTGTGTTTCATTAGGTAAATGTGCTGCATAAGACTTCTTTAGAGTATAGAAGAGCAAGGATGTTTCTTTGAGGGCTAAGGTACACGTTGCATCATACCCATGTGCAAAGTTGGACGTTGAACAAAGAAGATTATAGAAGAATTGATACATTTGAATTGTGATGCTGGAGAAGACTATTGAAAATACTATGGACTGCTACAAGGACAAACAGATCTGTATTGGAAGAAGTAAGGCCAGAGTGCAGCTTAGAGACAAGATGACAGACTTTGGTCATGTCGGGAGAGACCAGTCCCTGAAGAAGGACAGCGTGTTTGGTAACGTGGAGGGCTGGCCACACACAGGAAGGCCCTCAATGAGCTGGATTGACCCAGTGGCTGCATCAATGGGCTCAGGTATGCAAGTATGGTGTCCTTAAGGTTGCTATGGGTGGGAGCTGACTAGACAGCACCCAACCACAGCAACATCTCATGAGAATTAAATGTACCAAGGCCCTAAGAGTTGAGCTTATTAAACACTGATTACATTTCAGCTGGCTTTGTCACAGAACTATCCCTGGGAAAAGACCTCTGGCTCACATAAGCTTAGCTGTGTGTTAAATAAAACTGTAGGTGAAAGAAAGTTAAGCAGGCTTCTTGACTGCAGGCTTCTTGAGAGCTTTGAACTCCATGTTAAGCTTTAGGAAAGGAGCCCCGGTGGTGTAGTGATTATGCATTTGCCTGCTAACTGCCAGGTCAGCAGTTTGAAACCACCAGCCGCTCTGAGGGAGAAAGACTAGGCTTTCTTTTCTTTTTTAAGACGAGGCTTTCTACTCCTATGAAGAGTTACAGGTTTGGAAACTCGCAGGGGCTGTCTAACCTGTCGGCATTGATTTGATGGCTGTAATTATGCTTTTCAAAACTCCGGGAGTGGACTTCACAGCTCACAAAGACTCAGGGAGTAGGGCGACAGCATACCAATGAATTCATTAGGCCTGGCCTCTCCCCAGTGGGGTGGAGAGGACAACTCTTGGAAAGGTCTCCCTGACTCTGGGCCTCGTTTCCTCAGTGTAAAACAAGGGAGCTGCGTGAGATGACTAAGGTGCGGAGCTGGGAAGACAAAGTTGTGGGCAATGGTGGAGAGCAGGCATTGAAGTTGAAGCCCAGTCAATTTGCAATCCAGGGTTGGCTACCTGACCCTCAGGTGAGCCAGGGCGTTGGTTCTCTTGTTCCAGATTAATTCGTTCTTCAACAAGGTCTGCTGCTGAGACCTGCTGTGCCAGGCTTTCTGGGGGCTAGGAAGTAGAAGAGTCCTCTAACCCCCTGTTTCACCTCCACTCTGCAGTCGTAATTACTTATTTAATACATGAGTACCAACGAGCAGAGGAGTCTCTAGGTGCTGAAGACAGCGAACCACTCAACTTCTAGACCAAAGATTGGTGTTGGAACCTACCTGGACACCATAGAAGACAGATCTGGGGCTCTGCTTCTGAGAAGTCCCGGCGTTGAAAACCGTGGAGAACTGCTCCACTCTGCACAACAGGGTTGCCACGAATTTCAATCGATGGCAACTAACAAGAACAGTGAGAGGAAGCCCAGGCCAGAGTTGTCATGCAGGGGGAGCTGAGGACTGCAAACCAGGCTGATGGGAGCTGGGGGCTGGACACCAAGTGTGCACAGCATGCCCCTGCCTTTACTTGCATGGTGTGTGAACGAATTGGACAGCTCTGTGAGTTGCTCATGTGCTGCTGGTAGCAGAGAACACGAGTGTTTTACTCCTGCCTGAATCTCCTTGCCTTGTAACGCCCCGTGGGAAGTCTGCGCCTCCTCCTCACTGCCATCGAATTGATGCGGACCTATAGGGTGGTGTAGGACTGCCCCGGTGGGTTCCGAGACAGTAACTCTTAATGGGAGTAGAAAGCCCCATCTTTCTCTTGCAGAGCGGCTGGTGGTTTTGAACTATGGACCTTGAGGTTAACAGTCCAATGATAACCACTCTGCCACCAAAGCTCCTTGCGGTCAATGTCTGGTGAACGAATGATGGGCAGCGTGTGTGGAAGGGGAGCGTGATGTGGCAGTTCTTTCAATAGGCAGCTGGAATCATGAATGATGATAAGCTTGAATTAAGCAATCAATCCCAGGCAAAATAGGAAGATATATTTGAGAGCTTCGAACGTTCCTGGGATAATTCTTTCCATTCCATTTTCCCACGAACTTTCTGAAGCCCCATCCGATGCGTGCATCCCCTGCCATCAGGTCCATGCTGACTCACAGCGACCCCTCAGGATACGGCAGAACAAACTCAGTGTTGAGACTGTAACTCTGCCCCGGAGCAGAAAGCCCGTCTTCCTCTCGCAGAGCTGGCTGGGGTTTTGACCTTGGGGATAGTAGGCCAACTACTGTGCCACGTGGTCAGTAGCACTTGCCATCTTGTCGCACAAAGGGAGTTGAGAGTGCAGCTTGGGTTCAGCATGTGCTTCTGCCACTTGCTAGGTAAGTGTCAGGGCCAAAGACCAAACTTTCCTGTGCCTCTGTTTCCTTATCTGAAAAATGGGACTCATGATAGTGTCCGCCTCCTAAGGTGGCCTAAGGCTTAAGTGAGTCATCGAGACCTACAGTGCTTAACACAGCGTCAAGTTCTCTGTGTTGGTGTTGATTGCAACTCAGATTGACCCTGTGCACAACAGAACAAAGCACTGTCCAGGCCGGAGCCCTCCTTACAATTGTTCTTGCGCTTGAGCCCATTGTAGCAGCCGCTGTGTCAGTCCAGCTGGTTGAGGGCTGTGTTCTGTTCTGTGCCACTGTGCGCTATTCCTTTTGTCTCCCTCATCGTCAGCACACCATGAGGTCCCTGAGGATGTGGATCAACATTTCTTAGACTCTCCAAGCAGAGTTCTTTAAGTGATGGCAAACCTCCCCAAACTCCCTGCCCTTGAGCCAATTCCCACTGCACAGTGCCTCTCTGAGTTTCCGAGACTAGACGTTTACTGGAACAGACAGCCTCATCTTTGTCCCACTGAGAGACTGGTGGGCTCAAACAGCTGACCTCATGGTTAGCGAGCAGCACACTGCACCGCTCCCTCTGCCACCGGGGATCCTTGATGAGGAAACTCCCGGATGCTCGATCGTATAACTCTTTATCGGCCACCACGAGTCGGAATTGACTGGAACACACACAGCAACAAAAACAGAGGTGTCTTCAGAAAGAGGGGAGGGGAGGAAGCACTTGGGGATGTCCTTTGGAGGTGTCTGCTGGTACTGGCCTCCAAGGATTTCAGCTGAGGAAAAGGACATCAGCACAGCGAGTGCCATTTGGGTCTGATGAGAAATGAGGGGGAAAAGTATAACCCGTTAGCTGGGGACGTTCAAGACTAAGTGGCTTGCTGAGTTATGCCTTGTAGGAGTGGGTGTTATGTTGTTGTTTTTAATTTGGTAAAATGTTGAGTAGCAGGTTCGTGCTAAACACCAGGGGATTACAAAAGAATGACACCAAGTGCTTATCTTTGATGAGTCTACATGAAAAACTCCATGAGAAGCATTATAATGGTCCCAAGGTCGTCATCAGGAGACCAGGGGAGGCATAACAGAAGAAGCAGGTTTTGAGGGATAGATAGGAGGTTTCCAGGTCGGCAAGATGAAGGGAATGCCCCAGGCCGAGGGAGCAGGCTGTGCAAAGCTCGAGGCAGGTGAAGCAGCAGGTCCACGGGTTTGGTGAGCCGGTGGCTGGATTTGAAGGCTGGAAAGATAGGGTGGCTGGGCTGAGATCATGCAGGGTAAGGGAGGGCCCGTGGGAGGCCTTGGCCATTCTGAAGGGGCTAAAGGGGCAGCCGTCTGTCAGCAAGGCCATTGTCTCCACCCCAGTGGGTGCTGATGGTGGTCTGAAGGGACACTGGGCTAGCCTGTCACCTCCTCAAATGTCCCATGTGGCTGGATGTGCGTGTTAGTGGAGAAAACAGCTGGGGTTTCTGTATGAGCCAAGACTGGGGTGAGAGGAACAGAAGAGGCTGCCCCCAAACCCGGGTGTGGGGGAAGGAGGGGAAGGCCAGGGGTGGTCAGTGCTTAATGCATTTCTCAAACATACTGAGTACCTGCATCATGTCAGGCATGACTCTCTGCTCTTGGGAGACAGCAGAGAACAGACCTATGATCCCGATTCTCATGGAAGTCAGAGCTGAGGCCCAGGGCAGGGCTAAGAGGACGGGGTGGGTGGGAGTAGGCCGTGGCCATCAGAGTGTTGTCCCCGCCAGGACCACCCTCCCACCCCCCTAGCATCGGCATGTGAGATGAGAACTTCAGGCTGAGGACCGTGTTCTGGCCTCTCTCCCCAGCTCCCTGCCCCAGTCCACAGCCATGGCATCGGCGATGGCCCAGAAGCTAAGCCACCTCCTGCCTCGCCTGCAGCTGGTTCCCCAGGAGTTGGAGCCATCCCTGCAGCCGGCGCCTGTCTTCACAGTGAACCGAACCGAGGTGCCCCGCCTCTTCTGGAAGCCCTACATCTACGTGGGCTACCGGCCGCTGCACCAGACCTGGAGCTTCTACTTCCGCACGCTGTTCCGGCAGCACAACGAGGCGGTGAATGTGTGGACTCACCTGCTGGCCGCCCTGGGGCTGCTGCTGCGGCTGGCCGTCTTCATGGGCACCGTGGACTTCTGGGGGGACACGCATGCCCTGCCCCTCTTCATCATCGTCCTCTCCTCCTTCACCTACCTCTCCCTCAGTGCCTTGGCTCACCTCCTGCAGGCCAAGTCCGAGTTCTGGCATTACAGCTTCTTCTTCTTGGACTACGTGGGGGTGGCTGTCTACCAGTTTGGCAGTGCCCTTGCTCACTTCTACTACGCCATCGAGCCCGCCTGGCACGAGCAGGTGCAGGCCGTTTTCCTGCCCTTGGCTGCCTTCCTCGCCTGGCTCTCCTGCACTGGGTCCTGCTACAACAAGTACAGCCAGATGTCAGGCCTGCTGGGCCGCACTTGCCAGGAGATGCCCTCGGCACTGGCCTATGCACTGGACATCAGTCCTGTGGTGCACCGTATCTTGGTGTCCCCTGCCTCTGCCCTGGACGACCCCGCTCTTCTCTACCACAAGTGCCAGGTGATCTTCTTCCTGCTGGCTGCCGCGTTCTTCTCGGCCTTTATGCCGGAACGCTGGTTCCCCGGCAGCTGCCACATCTTTGGGCAGGGCCACCAAATCTTCCACGTCTTCCTGGTGCTGTGCACGCTGGCCCAGCTGGAAGCCGTGGCGCTGGACTACGAGACCCGGCGACCCATCTATGAGCGTCTGCATACCCACTGGCCTCAGAACTTCTCCGGCCTCTTCTTGCTCACCGTGGGCAGCAGCGTCCTCACCGCGTTCCTCCTGAGCCAGCTGGTGCGCCGCAGACTCCAGCAGAAGGCCCAGTGAAGCGGGCTGGGGCGCAGCTGCGAGTGAGGGAGGTGTAGGGGTTCAGGGGCTTGGGCTTGGAGCCACATGGGAACACGGCCTGGTAAAGCTGTTTGTGTCTGGCCCATGGTGACTCTCTCTGCACACCTCAGCTGCCTGGGAAGTTGGGATCGGCTGGGACCTGTCCTGGACCTGCCTCAACTCCCTGCTCGGGGAGAGGGGAATGAGATGTAGGTGTAGTTGTCAGCTGCCCTGGCCAATCCCTACACGACTTGTCCTTAGAGGGGAGCTGGGGGCCAGCGTGGGTCAGAACCCTGGCTTGCAGTCTTTCCAGAGGACATGCTCGGAGGGAAGGTGGGATTTAGGCCAGACTCAGATTTGACCTGAGAGGTCAGGGAATCCTCAACCAGCCCCTCTAGCCATATTTCATTGTAGATGGGAACAGGTTCAACATCTTACTGTTGTTTTTGTTTAATCTTACTGTTCTTTGAGCCGTCACCTGGGGTCAGAGCTCCAGAGAGCCCGGAGGGAGAGGCCTGTGCCAGCCCTCAGTGGGTCCCATCCCGCGCTGCACACCTCTGTGGCCTAGCCACCAGCTCATAGGATGAGCCCCACCTCTTCTACCTCCCACCTCCCGCTCCCAGCTTCTTACCTGGGCCCTTCATCAGAATTCCACGATCCTGAATGTGAGCGGCCTCTGGCTAGCCCTGGTGATTCATGCCAGTTGTTCTAGGGTTTGATAAATAAGTGATGCCCAGGACCTCAGGGTTCTGGGCTGAAAAGGGTGAGTAGGGGTTTGCAAATGGAGACGAGGAAGGGGCATTCCAGGCAGCTGGGGAAAACCTGGGCAGAGGCCCAGAGGGAGGCAATTCAGTGGGACTGAGCCTAGGGGTGGTTTGGATTCTTAACATGTTGAATGCAATAAAGTGGATGTAACAGCAACCATGTCTCTCTGCTTTGTGTCTCTTACCCTTGGGTCCCCTTGAGGGGTCCTACTCGGTGTTGGAGGTTTTCTGGTGGAAGCTGGGTCCTGTGGGGTGGGGGCAGGGTAGGGCCTGGTAGTTCCTGTTTTATCCCCGATGCTTTGGTGGCCTACTGGTTTACTCGTTGAGCTGCTAACTGTAAGGCCAGCAGTTTGAAACCACCAGCTACTCCTTGGAAGAAAGATGAGCCTTTCTACTTCTATAAAGAATTACAGTCTTGGAAGCCCACAGGGGCGGTTCTATCCTGTCCTATAGGGTTATGACGGGTCTGAATGGACTTAATGACAGTGAAGTTTTGAGGAGTGGGTAGGAGCCCTGGTGGTGCTGTGGGTTAAGGCACTAGTTTGCTAATCACAAGGCTGGCAGTTCAAACACACCAGCTGCTTCTCGGGAGAAAGATGAGACTGCTCCCATCAAGACTTGCACTTTTGGAGATCCTGAAGAACAGCTTTGTTCTTGTCACGTAGGATTGAATCAGAATTGACCTGATGACGTGAGTTTGGCTTTTCTCTTGGAGGGGTGGGACAGAAACCCTGGTGGTACTGGAGTGAAGGTACTTGACAGCTAGCCCAAAAGTTTGAACTCACCAGCCCTTCGCCATAGGAGAAGGATGTGCTTTGTAGAGATCCACACCCTTAGAAACCCTATGGGGCAGTTCTACTCTTCCTATAGGGTCTCTGTGGGTTGGAATGGACAATGGCAGGGGGTTGGAGCCTGTGTGAGTCTGGGTACATGAGAGAAACAAATCCACAGAAACTAATATGTATAAGAGAGTTTTATATAAAAGGTAAGTGCACATCAAGAAAACATCCCAACCCAGTGCTCCCCAAACCCACAAGTCCAACATTAACCCATAGGTCTGATACCAATCCATAAAGTCCTCCTCCGTCTCACAAAACACACGCAATGATGCCCACTGCAGGAGGAAAGTCGAGTCAGTGAATGTGTAAGCATCTTGGTGCTGGCAGGGGTCTCCACATGGCTGTTCCAGCACCCAGAGCTGCATCGGGGTAGGTTCATGTGGCTTCTCCTTGGGAATATCTTGCAGGAAGTGAGCCTTGCCAGCTGAAGCAGGGAACTGGTTAAGGCAGCTGCACCCTGATCCGACCATCAGAAAACAAGAGACCCGAGAACTAGAAAGGCGAGGCTCACTGAGCCCTTTCTCTCTCCGCCCTTCAATTAACCCCACATGTGTTTATCAGCCAGGTTGGCACAATAAACTTTAATCATCTCAGAGCCTTGCACACTTATTAAGGGACAGGGGAGAGGAACAATTTTGCTAAACAAGATTTGAAACTGCCTTAAAAGAATGAGTTTAAACTATACCTTACAATTTGACGATTTCATGTTTTGGCTTTTCTGTCAAAGCTCAATATTTATATAACTATTAACTTTTATAATGTCACTCCCCCCTATATATGTGCAAGCATTATATCTATAGTGAAGGAAAATCAGCAAATACGGATAAGAGTGAAACAAATAAATGCTACCACTCCACTGCCAAACATCCTGGGCAGAGAGCTCTGAGATGGACAGATGCAGGATACTAAGGGCATGTTGAGGACCCCAGTTTTGGCACAAGGAGACCTGAGTCTTGGCTCTTTCCTTTCCTTTTGGCATGATTGAGAGGTCTCCACGAGGAGATGAGCTTTGAGTGGTATCTTACAGTAAGAATGCACACACACACACACACACACACACACACAACCCCAAACCACACCAAACCAAACCCATGCAGTGGAATTGATTACGACTTGTAGCGACCTGATAGGACAGAGTAGAACTTCCCATGTGGGTTTCTAAGACCAGAACGCTCGATGGGCTTAGGGAACCTCATCTTTCTCCCATAGAGCTGCTGGTGGCTCTCAAAGACTGGTTGTGTGGCTCGTAGCCCAAGAGGGACCCCACTCTGCTGCCAGAGTGCCTACAAAAACAAAATGCAAATCCCTCGTCCAAGGTCAGGAACCTTTCACACAGCGTGGTTTGGGGAACATAACTTCTTATTATGATTGGGTGGCGACTTAAATAGTTGGTCATTGGTTTTCTGTTCAACCACTCGTATACATTTCATTTGATCTCATTGACTTCAACCTCCACAACGTAACATCAATTATCCTAAACGCTGCCCTTTTAATCTCAGACGGTGGGTTAATCTAAGTTCTGAGTGCCTTCATAGTGTCATTTCCCCCTCTTGCTTGGCTGATAATTGTGTCATGGGGCTGAGTTCACTATTAGACCAATAACCTGGCTCTAATGACGTTGAGTTCAATTCCACCATCTTCTCTCTATCCAGGATGTTCAGATGTGGTCTCTTTCAGAGCAACTTGTAGGGGAAGCCTGACCATCTAGTCCAGGGGTCCTCAAACTTTTTAAACAGGGGGCCAGTTCACTGTCCCTCAGACCGTTGGAAGGCCGGACTATAGTTTAAAAAAAAAACTATGAACAAATTCCTATACACACTGCACATTTTTTTTAAGGGTGGAGGCAGACTCGTCATGGACATGGTGGCCTGCTGGGTCTCCTGGCTTTATTAGTTTCCAGCCGATCAGTTCAGAAAGTTGGAGAGGGTGAGGCCGCCACCAGGAGCTCTGGACGTCCTCTCCTGGGGCAGGCTTGGCAGGTACAGACTGTGGGACAAGACCTCCCAGGCCCCACCGGGGACTGGTAGGAAGACCATGGATCAGTGGCTGCTCTCCCACACAGATGGAGACCTGGGACTCAAGGGTTGTGCCATGGGCCTGCATGCCCCAGCAGGTCACCGACCATCAGTGCCCTGGTGAGCCTGGAAGGATATGACCAGAGTGATTCATGCAGTGACCGGGCTGGAGCCACCGATTGGGACATGGCCTTGTAGTGGTTGCATCTGCCCACACGACTTAGGGGGTCAGCACGGGCCCTGGTGAGGGCTGGAGCCCCGTTGGGAATTGGGGCTCATAGGGGTGAGACCAGACAGCCGGGGAGGGGCCGCCAGGCTGAGGAGAGAAGCCAAGGGTGTCATGTCTTTCAAGACACAGACACCCTAAGACCTGAGTCCCAGCCTC